TAGTCATGTGTTAAAATAAAAGCAATCATCAAGGCAGGAGTAATTTCTTGTATGCATATATAAAGGCTTTAGCATACAAAATAAAGATATTAATGTTATAAAATTGTACAAGGAGACAAATAAATTAAAGTGATCCATTTTCTTCGTCAAGTTGAGCTTGAATTGATATATTTCAAATGACTGACTGCTATATAGGTGATTGACTCAAAGTTGATATTGGAAAAAAAGTGTATAAGTATTAAATATGTAAAAATCTTCTATAATATATAAAAGACTCTATTTTAAATTGAAGATTAACATAAATTCCTATGGATATTTACAGAAATTTCCTTCAGTCACAAGTTTATTTATTCAATTTATACACAGTAAATTATTGGGTAATTTTATAGAGAAGTGTGGAAAAATGTAACTTATTTTGAACTCTTCACCTGTTAAACTCACTAAAGTATATACCATTATATGGCCATAATGTCACTTTAAATAGGACAAAAACAATATAACCAATCCTCCCCTCGCCCCTTCATTTGCAAAAAAAATGTACCTTATCAATTTTCCTAAATGTATTTCCAGAGATGAGACTGATGAAGTTTTTGCTCGCAAACTCGATGGCAGCATCCATTAACCGAGTTATCATGTCAAACACAGGTTCTGTCCACTTCAAGTGTGGCGTTTTCTCGTTCAACCTCTGACAATCTACCAACACATCAAGTACATTGCTGAGTGCCTGTAAAAGTTATATGCAAAGTTCAAAACTTGAAAAATTTGATACAAAGTAGCTCATAGCCTCAAGTTTAAGAATTGAAAATTTTTACTCCAGACAGAATTTACTTGGCAGTGAACAAGACAAGGCAGTTACTGATATTAGCCCTTTTTATAAAGGGAGATTAGTAACAAAGGCATCACAAAACAGTTGGACACAGTTACTATTCTTGAAAAGAGTGACTGTATCATTTCATACAAATATCAAAGTCAATCATGAACATTTTCATCTAACAATTTACTCAATTTAGAATCCTAAAGAACATGACTTTACCAGGTCTTTGACTGCACTTGATACTGTAAACTCCAAAACTTCTTGAGGTAGAGTCGCTAAAGATTTTCCTGGCCATACTTTCCCAAAGTTTTTGTTGATCCATCGTACACATTTCTCCTTCATGGCGTCCATGTTGTACATCATTGTCAGAGCCAATGCTTCAGGTACACCAGCAATACATTCTGCACATGGCTAAAATAATGTAAAATCTTCATAACATCTTGATATTATAGACAGTTGACTTGGTATTTCATACATGTACTTACTTTAACTATCTAAAAGTCAACAATATGTACAATTAAATTGTTGTTTAAAACTTATCAATTAAAAAGCTGCCTTCTTACATACAGTATAAATTAATTCAATACTGTAAGTTTTATATTAGTTCTATTTCATTCAATTTAACGCACAGGTGTTTCGTATGTTGTATGTCTCTTGGTCAATATAATTAACCACCCCTCTAGAATACACTGCCTCCCCCATTCCTATCCCTCTTTTCTCTAAACAAAGTAAATTTAAGTATTTTCCAAGTGTAATACATATTTCATACATTTAATAACAATCATCTTAGCTTAAACATCAAGGAGAGAAAGGGGCTTGTGGAGGGAATAGGGGCTTTGTAGAGTGGATTGGGCATTACACTGACCAATTAACATACCAAACACCTGTGCCATAAAGTAACTGTGATACTGCCATAGTCACATGACAAATGTCAAGTTTTTATTAAGAGGCAGACCACAATTACTGCACTCTGCACAATATTTCAAGCAATTGAAGTTCAACTGACTTTTTCTTAGCATTCTCTTTAATCTCAGTATAGGGAAATTTTAATCTTAGTGTAGAATCTTGTGTTAAATGCTAATTTATAACAACATGTCACCATAAGAAAATCATTACAGAATATGTTTAGTAGTGAAAGACAATATTTAGCTTACCCTGTGGAAGAAATGACAATAGCCTATGTTAAGATTAAATGCTACAACTTCCTTCAGCCCTTCCATCCCATACATGTCCGCCATCATAATGAGCCCTCCTAGTGGACACTGGGGATCTACCTGAGTAACTCCACCATATAAATATAGTAACGTCTGCTTTAATACTGCAGGTAATATCCTGAAACATTTTCATGTATTCTATAAATATACAAAATCAACATTGATAACTGATAAAACAGAGTTATACCTTCCTATTTCTCTACTTTAAGAGAATACAGCTATCTCTTATGAAATATTTCTATAAATTTTATTAATCAGTAAAATTACATTATTTCCATAATCTTATGCCAAGTTATGGTGGAATCTTGGTAAAGTTGTAGCACAGAATATCTCTGTTATTTAACAAACATATTCTGTGACTATATAAACAGGGTATTATTCAACAAAAATGCACTTAAAACTGATATCTATTTCCTAAATATAAATGCAAATTGTACATACCCCTCTAACACTATTGTCTCTTCTTCGCTCTCCCTCCATGATCCACACAACATCGCAGCAAAATATGATGAACGAGCAGCTAAAATACACCTAAATTACAGAATAACACAAAAAGTTTCTTTAATCATTCCTTTGACAACAATTTTTTTCTAATGCAAAAATATTGCAGTACTTTTAAGGGTAGGCTAGGGCTTGAAATTAAGCTCAATTCCCCTTTCGAAAAGTATATATTTTTCCGAAAATGATTTATGAAATTGCATTGTTTGTGATTTCTGACTTGTTACCAAATTCTCAAAAATTCCACCAGCATATCTATAAACCTATGAACTTGAATAAGTACATTTGAGCCGCTTCATGACAAAACCAACATAATGGGTTTGCAACCAGCATGGATCCAGACCAGTCTGCGAATCCACACAGCCTGATCAGGATCCATGCTGTTCACTTGCCAACTATATTACAAGTAGAGAAACTGATAGCGAACAGCATGGACCCTGATCAGACTGCGCGAATGCGCAGCCTGGTCTGGATCCATGCTGGTAGCAAACCCATTATGTTGGTTTTGTCGTGACGCGGCTCATTTACAGTATAAGATTTATTGTGTAAAGTATTACCTATGGGCACGGAATGTTTCTCCCTGTACTTCTATAGAACAATCTGTAGACTCTTGTTCTAGTAACATTCTAAGCAAGTCCTCACCAAGCTTACTACATGGTCTCAATAATGTTTTTACTTCAAACACTCTTTCTTGTAACCCTTGTATACTGTCTATATTTGTTCTCGTGTTAAATCTACAACATTTTGTTTGCTGTGCTTGATTTTCTACTGAGGTATTTGATTGATTTCCTGGAGAGGTATTTGATTTGATTGAATATTGGCCATTGTTATCTTTTTCACTAGAATTAATTTTCTTCTCAATTTCAGCACTATCATTACAATATATCAAAGATTCCACTTCCTTGGCACTCTCATTTTCTTTGGCAATATTATCTAAAGGATTATCACTTTTGTCCTTTGCAACAATACTTTGAGCTTCTTCAATTACTTGTTTTACAATTCTTTCGGCTAATTTATAAATATTTTCCTCATCATTCTCCTCTTCACAACCACAAACCGCCGTTGTATTATCACAAGTGCTTGTTTTGTTCCCAGCTTCATTCCCTCTCTCAACACTACCATACATTTTATCATTATATTTATCACAATCAGAATTATCACAGACAGACGGACACCCGTTACTTCTTTCCCCTTCACCTATACAACTACAAATCTCCCTTTTTAAACAACCAACTTCAGTTTTGACAAGGTCTAGACTAGTATTTGTTATGTTTTCAGATATCACATGTAAAGTATCTCTGTCGGTGTCAATCATATCATTATCCATGTCATTAGAGTTGTCAGTGTTTGGCTGTTGTAATTCAATGTTTGATTCTGGCTGGAAATAAGTGTCCAGTTTCTCTACACTAGCTGTTACATCATCATCTGTATATAGTGACCTATAGAAAAAAATATCAAATTCAAATCTGAATTCCGTCCAAGATCAAAAAGTTACACACAAAACTTCAATAAATAGTATTCAAATATTTAATAACCGGAGACAAGTCGCCCAAGACAATTTTTCTTTCATGTAATACACTTGACTCTCGGTAACTCGAAATCCAAGGGACTGGGCATTTTACTTCGAGAGAAACGGAATTCGAGTAACGTGAATCTGCCGCCATTACGTTGATATTCGTACATGTATATACATGTGCCTGACTGTATGTGCAAAGAAGTAGGTTTTTCTATTGCTGACAGTGGCAATGCACGTGTTTTTAATAAGCACTCACGACAATTCATTACAATAAAAACACAATCACACATTTACTTCAACAACAATTTATCTAATATTTGAAGTGAATTGACAATCGGACGAAAAGGAAAGTAACAACTATCTTAAACCAGAATTAATGTATGCCATATGACGGAACATTAATTATACAAATGTCATTTACCTTGATATCTAAGCTGTTATTTGACTAACACCTGTCAGGCTGGCACGAGTCAACTTTCTTAAAGAAATGTGTAAGACTAGTTTGCTGGTAAACTTAATTACAATTAAATCTTAATTTAGTTATCTTACTGTTAAAACCAATTAAGCCCTGAAACCGATTACATCCACTTTTACGACGTATTAATAATACATGATGACTGGCAATTAAAATTACTATAAAACGTGTTAATCACGAGTGACAATGTCTCGCCTTGATGTCGCCGACCTTTGATCAGTCGGCTGTTTTCACACTTCGACTAATTGAGATGAAAATATGTTGGACTTTAATTGACGGGACCAAATATTCTTTTCGTCTAAACAGGAGTCTCGGTTAGTCAAAATTTGACCTAAGCGGAGTTAAAATACAAAGATAAAGAAGGAAATATGACGGGACTTTAGAAATTCTTCGACTAACGCGGAATTTTGAGTAAAGCGATTTTGACTTATTGAGAGTCAACTGTATATCCTTATAAAAGCATATCAGAAGATACATTGCTTCAAAACTGTCTAAAAAAAGGCTTACTTTTATTTTAGCTGATCAAAACAGCAGCAAAGTTTGTGTCTTCTAAAAGTAGATTAATGTATTAAAAAAATCCTATTTGTATAATTATGTACGAGAGATTAGAGAAAAAATAGAAACCATATGTTACCTTAGACAATTTTCTATATCTGAATGACGTGAGTTGGGGATCAATAATGCCTCGTTCCCATCATTTCTTTCAAATGATGTCAAAAAATTACACAAGTCTGCATTCCTGAAGATTATAAACAAGAACCGGTTGAACCGGGTGATGCTCCCCGAGAAGGTTCTGGACACAGGAAAGTATAATAAAAATGAACAAAGGGCAATAACTCCAAAATTACACCAGGCTTTGTTTAGGTTCTTGAAGCGTTGCAGTTCTATCCAATTATATCTAGCTACCTACAAAGTTTCATGTTGATATCTCTAATAGTTTTAAAGTAATGTCCAGGACAAAAGTCAAAAAGTAAAAATAAACAAAGGGCAATTACTTCAAAATAAGGCAAGGCAGAGTAATGATTCTTAAGCACTGCACTTCCACCCAATGAGACCTATCTATCTACAAAGTTTCATGTTGATATCTCTTATAATTTTAGAATAATGTCCCAGACAAAGTTCAAAGTGTCAAAATGAACAAAGGGCAATAACTACAAAAGAAGGCAAGACAGTGTTACAGTTCTTGTGCACTGCAAACTTACTCAATGAGATCTATCTACCTACAAAGTTTCATGTTGATATCTCTTATACATTAAGAAATATGTCCCGGACAAAGTTCAAAGTGTAAAAAATAAACAAAGGGGGATAATTCAAAAATTAGGCAAGGCAGAGTCAAGGTTCTTGTTCACTGCACACCTACTCAATGAGATCTATATACCTACAAAGTTTCATGTTGATACCTGTTATACTTTTAGAGTTATGTCCCGGACAAAGTTCAAAGTGTAAAATAAACAAAGGGGGATAATTCAAAAATTAGACAAGGCAGAGTTACGGTTCTTGTGCACTGCATACCTACTCAATGAGAACTATCTACCTACAAAGTTTCATGTTGATACCTCTTATACTTTTAGAGTTATGTCCCGGACAAATTTCAAAGTGTAAAATAAACAAAGGGGGATAATTCAAAAATTAGGCAAGGCAGAGTTACAGTTCTTGTGCACTGCACACCTACTCAATGAGATCTATCTACCTACAAAGTTTCATGTTGATACCTCTTATACTTTTAGAGTTATGTCCCGGACAAAGTTCAAAGTGTAAAATAAACAAAGGGGATAATTAAAAAATTAGGCAAGGCAGAGTTACGGTTCTTGTGCACTGCACTTCTACTCAATGAGATCTATCTACCTACAAAGTTTTTCAATGTTGATACCTCTTATACTTTTAGAGTTATGTCCGCGACAAATTTCAAAGTGTAAATAAAACAAAGGGGGGTAATTCAAAAAATTAGGCAAGACAGAGTTACGGTTCTTGTGCACTGCACACCTACTCAATGAGATCTATCTACCTACAAAGTTTCATGTTGATACCTCTTATTCTTTTAGAGTTATGTCCCGGACAAAGTTCAAAGTGTAAAATAAACAAAGGGGGATAATTCAAAAATTAGGCAAGGCAGAGTTACGGTTCTTGTGCACTGCACTTCTACTCAATGAGATCTATCTACCTACAAAGTTTCATGTTGATACCTCTTATACTTTTAGAGTTATGTCCCGGACAAAGTTCAAAGTGTAAAAATAAACAAAGGGGAATAATTCAAAAATTAGGCAAGGCAGAGTTACGGTTCTTGTGCACTGCACACCTACTCAATGAGATCTATCAACCTACAAAGTTTCATGTTGATACCTCTTGTTGTTTCAAAGTTATGTCCCGGACAAGAAAAGGGGACGGACGGACGGACGGACGGACGGACGGACGGACGGCCGGACGGACGGACGGACAAGGCGGCGACTATATGCTCCCCCGAAATTTTTTCGGGGAGCATAATAAAATATTAACAAGACCTGTATGCCTATAACATGCTCAATTTTCCTTAGTGCTAGACAGTATAATTACAGCAAAGTTGAAAATCAGGAATAATCTTTTGAAAGTGCAAGGCAGGCTTTCCTGCCATTGATAGTGAATACGTGTTTCAAGTTTAATATGAATTTTAGAAATTATAGAAAAACAAAGCAAATCTTAGTCCTATAAGAGCTGTCAGTAGGACAGCATGCATCACTATCCTCAATGCTTGATAGTAAAACATAACACCTGGATAATATAGATTTCTTTTAGTTCAAGAAGGGCCATAATTCTGTCAAATGTTCAAGTAATGACCCCTGAAAAAAAACTTACTATTATGCTTTCAAATAAGTGTGTGAAGTTTCAATCTATTGCCTTCATTATATTTGCAGATACCATTTTGCACACAAAACAAGATTGCATTTGAGAAAAATGCTATGCCACCGCATTAATACAACACTAAATAGTAGTGTAGGAACAGATTTTTTTTTGTTTCTATACAATTGAAGATTGTCATAATGCATAGATCCCTGACCTATCTAATTCTTATTATCAGATTAGTGGTTAAATCTATTGTTAACTCAATAAAAGATCAGAGTAGGAATATATCAATGCACTTGAGTCTAGTGAATTTGGTGGTGAAGGTCATATTTCACACAGCCTAAAATTTCATGACTGCATCAAAGGACAACATGTAATACACTTTGTCAAAATCAAGGTCAGCTGATATCAAAGTTCACTTTTAATTTTGACACTAGAGGCAAAATTTAAACAACTTTGGTAGAGTACCTAAAGAGGATATCATTTAACAAATATTAAAGCTCTAAGCCTAGTACCTTCAGACAATAAGATTTTTTTGATTTTTTACTATATGTATATATTGAAAATCAATGACCCCGGGGCGGGGGCAATTTTGACCCCAGGGCTATTATTTGAACATTCTTGCTAGAGTTTCACTTCACAATGTTTCACGCAAAGTATCTAACCTCTAGCATTTGTCAATTGCTAGAAGAATTTTTTTTAAAGTTTTTACTATAAGTTTTTACTATGTAAATATGAGGAAAATCAATGACCCCCGGGGCCGGGCCGATTTTGACCCCAGGGCTATAATTTGAACAATCTGGGTAGAGGTCTATCAGACAATGCCTTATGCAAAATATCTAAACTCTAGGCCTTTTGGGTCTTTACAAGAAGGTATTTTAAAATTTTACTGTATGTACATATAGTGAAAATCCATGACCCCCGGGGCAGGGCTGATTTTGACCCCAGGGCTATAATTTGAACAATATTGGTAGAGGTCTACCAGACAATGCCTTATGCAAAATATCTAAGCTCTAGGCCTATGGGTCTATAAAAAGGTATTTTAAGTTTTTACTATATGTACATATAGTGAAAATCTGACCCCCGGGGCGGGGCCGATTTTGACCCCAGGGCTATAATTTGAACAATCTTGGTAGAGGTCTACCAGACAATGCCTTATGCAAAATATCTAAGCTCTAGGCCTTTTGGGTCTTTACAAGAAGATTTTTTAAATTTATTCTTATAATTCCTTTTTGTTGCCATGGCAACCAGATTTCTGCATGGAATTAAATTCTTTGAACAACTTTGGAAGCCCTTCACCCAAGGATCAATCCTGCCAAGTTTGGTTGAAATTGGACTAGTGGTTTTTCACAAGAAGATTTTTTAAGTTCACTATATAATCTATATAACACACACACACACAAACAAACAAACAAACACACACACACACACACACACACACAGGTGAATCGCTATATGCCACCGCATCGCAGATGCTGCGGTGGCATAAAAATTAACCAACATGTGACCCAGGGTGAGTACAACAGCTCTCCCTTTTCATTGAATGGTTGAGCTAAATAATTAAGCAAAAAGTTCAAAATAGTTTTTGAAAATGTACCTTACATAAAATAAACTAAGAAAGACTGAGCCATAAACTTATTAAAGCATACCTTGCTTTAATTATACATCTGTGAAGTGCTAGCTTTCTACTACCTAGGTCAATGCTTAGATCTGTGAGTATTTCATCTGTATACAACCTGAAAACAACAAAAAACCGACACTTTAAAGGTACACATTCAATCAACTAAAGGGACATTTAATGTCTATTTAAAAATATATTTGAACCAATTTTGCAAAGGTCAATTTTTTTTAAACATAAAAAAATACTTTCAATAATCAAATTTGACAAAAACCAGTCAGTATGAATTAAGGTAAGGTCAGTCAGTGGTCAATACTGCTTTAGTCATTACTGGTTGACTGAAGTCATCATTGGTTAATAGTGGAAATTTTTAAGGTTAAAATAGGCTGGTCGCATTAACCGGACTGTAAACCAAGAAAACTATAACCATCGTTTGATATGACTATTCTCATTCATGTTAAATGTCTGCTTATTTTTTCTTATTACATTCAGGACTCAATACATCGGAATCCATTATACTGACAAATTCAAATAACAACAGTGAATTGGTGGGAACCAAACTTTTCAACATTATTATTATCCTTTATAACAGAAAATTCTTATTCCGACTCCGACAATAAAATTGGAAACCAAACGTGTTATTTTCTATACAATCAGTACCTGTTAAACTGACACTTGGTCAGTCAAGCGCACGTATCATTGAGCCATGAACAAAAGCCGCAAGGTGTTAAAACAGGTATTGTAGCTTGGTCAGTTGATTGTTACACCTTATTACAAAGACTTTATTAGTTAATTGACAAAGACAACAAAAATATGCAATCAATTTTTAAACATTTAAAAGTCCTATCATTGTATGTGCTTTTCATTTTATAAAGTTTTATCATTTTCATATCCATCTTTAACTATTTTAGTTGTTATTATTTTAATACAGATGTTGTTAGAGCCGTCATCGATAGAAGCGATATCGATGTATCATTGATATTTTTTTGTCGATCGATTATAGATTCAAATTTTTGAAAATCGATACTTTCACTAATTATTAAAAGTCTAGAAAATTCTGTAGTATATAGCCCATACAGAACATTAAAATAGTTTGTTTCAAGTACCTGTGGAAACGACGAAAATTAACTCAAAACATAAACAAATACAGGTGCCCTGTCAAAAGGACATGTCTAAAACTATACCGTGACTACTAAATGGACAGCTACTGTATGGTAGCTGTATTTGCACTTCAGAAAAAACATATTTTTCTGTGTTGAAAATTATATAAACAAAACAATCCAATTTTAAAAAGTTATTTGAAATAAAAATCCAATAGATCTTAATCAAATTATCATTATACTTAAACTGTCTTGATCTAAGATTCATCATTCACAAAAGTTATATCTTAGCAACACTTAAAAATGGCTAAAAACATAAAAATTGTTGGGACAAAAAGAAGGCTAAAATTTCAAAGCCAATTCCCATTTGGGAACATTTTGGGTTTGTAGATGAAAAAGGGGTTGTTAACTCAAAATTAGTCCCAAGTTAGATTCGTTGTATGACTGCCATTTAGCGGCAATACATTTAACTTGAGTCGTAAACAATGATTGGGGCAAGGTTAAACATCAGTCAAGTGTCAAGACCGACTTTAAAAACAACATAATCAGTAGGCTATTACTAAACAATAAAATAATTTGGAAAATTCCTAACATTTTATGATTTACAAAATAAATATGTATATAAATAAAATAAATAATAATTCTAACTTTGTCAAGTAAAAGTGTAACAATGGGTTGACAAATCCTTGTTCTGTATGAACAGTAAAATTACAAAAATGTCATAAAAAGTCAATAAAATTGTACATATGTATTTCAATTTGATAAATTCCTTTAAAATTACAGTTATTTCCAGAAATGTACATTTTCAAAATCAAATTCCTTTGCATGCTTATTATCAACTGGGTTTTTTGTACCCACTGTGTTCAAGTGTCAAGTGTCAATACTTTATGACTACAGTCACTATTATTTAACACCTACATACAAAACTCATGCACAAATTTGAATTTTTTTTTATGTAACATTCATGTTTTTCTACTCTAGTCATGTTAACTAGTCATTCTAGTTAATATACATTTAAGTTTGAACTCTGTATATAGTCAAGTGAGATAGTGATTTCATATTGTAACTTTAGTCATTGAAGTGTTCTGCATACGAGGGTTGTTCAAAAAGTAATAGGACTAAGAGTCTTATGTCTCCATATTCCATTAGATTTGAAATATTTTCATATCCACGGCAATTGTTAATTGTTTTCTACAACTTCAGCATAAGTTTATTGAATTATTGCGCTAAACGCGTGTTCCCTGTGATATTAAATAACCATGGTAACACGCACCCGGCGCAGCGCATCAAAAATATTTTGACGCTAATTTGTACTTTCAGTTTAATCATAATATGTTGTCTTTTTCCCCTAATATTTCACCAACACATTTCATCATATTAAAGTGTCATGTTGTCCAAATTTGACGTCATTCAGACAAGAAATCGCTAAACTATAACGTTTTGAACAGCAGTGACAATCGCGTTAAATGCAGAAAAATGACGTTCGTTGAAAAACTTAAAATGTGTACGATCATTAATTTTTTCCAACAGATAGGCCCTACTCCTTTAGCTATGTATGAAAAGATTAAATTTTCACAGAACAATAATTAGGCAATTATGACACTCGTTTTCAGCTGGAGAAAGCAGTTCAAAGACGGTGAATATGAGATCACAGACACGAAAGGGCTAGGGAGAAAGCGGAAAATTGACGGACGTTGGAGAGGTTAATTAGAATAGCGCTACAAAAGTATCGGCGGTATACAGTCCGCGAACTGTCCGGCATGTTTGATGTTTGCATCGGATATACTGTTTCAGTTCTAAGAAAATTATTGAATAGGGGAAATTTGTTTTAAACACTATTTTATTTTATTAGATATATATATGTGTGTGTGTTATCATTGAATAAATTTGATAATGATACGCGGTAATTACTGGTATCAATTTTTCTCGATTTCGTTTAATAAATGATAGCCCGTGCTCAGAAGAAGAGAAGCATTTTCAATTTACTGTACATAATCATATTGTTTTAAGAATGTAAGATGGCATGTGTAAATAAAAAATATAAATAACTTTGTCATTTACATTATATGTACATGCCCGTTTAGCTTCCAGAATACTCAAAATCACGAGATCAAACCGAAAGGTGCCGGCCACCGGGCATGTTTCGAATAAAGAAATGAAAATGTGATTGCTTTTTTTCGCTACATCTCCACAGATGAGTTTTGGTAATAGTTACATGATTCAAGCACCTAGAACATTGTGGAGAATAATTTCAGAAAGAATGACGCTGTTTACATTTTGAATTTATTTTGCGACGTCATGAACGTCATTTATTTAACAATTAGCGTGCGCCGGGTCGCGTACCCCTTGTCATTTGTAAGATGTACAGAATTGTTGTTATTAAACATATTGTATTGATTTTTTCACTGTATATAGAGGACAAATTCCGATATTCGATTTTTGTAAACTCGTGTACGTAGATAAAAAAATGTGGACAGTAGAGCTGCAGTCCTATTACTTTTTGAACAACCCTCGTAGTGTGATGGCGTATAGATATGGATTGAGGCCAGTAAATGAATAACCACAGTTTATACTCAGTTTTATATTTATTTGATAATTTACATATTTCATAGCACTAATATATGCAAAATATGATCAGAGGACATTTATGAACAAAACACATCATAAGTTCATGTAAAGAAGGTACTCTGTTTACTAAAATCATTCATAAATAATATGAATGTGAAATACAGGTAAATATATCAATATATCGGTGTATCGTCGATGTTTGCAATCTGATATCGATATATCGATGATATGCCTTTCACTGAATCAATGAGAGCTCTAGATGTTGTATTATGTGTATGATATGTAAATGTGTATAATAAAGTGAACACATAAATAAGCATATCATTACATGATGAATGATGAAATTCAATATACTGACAAATTCGATATACTGACATATCCTTTGGGAACCAACAGTGTCGTTGTAATGAGTCCTGACTGTACATGAAAAATATTTGCATTCAAATGAGAAAAAAATAGAGAAGTTTCTTTGTCAGTCAGTAATTACAGGGACATATATATCAAGTTCTGTGTAACTGAATGATGTGTGCCTTCTTATTTGATATCAATTATACAGTGAATTTGCTGCAAGAGGAATAATCAATTTAACATCAATTTTATACAGTGAATATGCTGCAAGAGGAATAATCAATTTAACATCAATTTCAATCAGATATTAAAGATTTTAATTGACTTTTCAATTAAGATTTTGGTTCATTAACCAGCATCCAAGGACCAGTTAAATTGATTGTAAAAATTGTAGGGTACAATGTATGTGAAAGTCTGGGAAAAAAAGCTTTTTTTCTGTTGATAAAATTCTGCGGCAGTTCCTTTGTCACTTATTAATGAGTTGAAGATTTTCCACAAGAAAGAAAATAAACAACCACTAAACAATCTGACAAGGTATGAAATCTTTATCAAAATATGAGCCATGTCATGACAAAACTAACATAATGGGTTTGCGACCAGCATGGATCCAGACCAGACTGCGCAGATAGCCTGCGCATCTGCGCAGTCTGATCAGGATCCATGCTGTTCGCTATCAGTTTCTCTACTTGTTATAGGGTTTGTAAGCGAACAGCATGGATCCTGATAAGACTGAGCGGATGGGCAGGCAGATCTGGATCCATGCTGGTCGCAAGCGCATTATGTTGGTTTTGTCGTGACACGGCTCATATAATGATCATGTAACAGCGGTTGTTGAGGAAAATTGGACAAATCATAGCCACTTAACTGGTACATGGAGCACTACATGTGACAACACAATCAATTAAAATATATACATACATGTCATTTCTTGTCATTTTGTGTAGCCAAATGGGATAAAAATTTTATGCAGTCACAACTTAGGTTCAATATGACGCTTGAATATTACATATAACTTTGAACACTTGCAAAAGATAATGAGGAATTAGATGCCATTTGTGTGAGGAGTCAGTGCAAATGTTTTTATACTGAGAAATCATAGAGAAAAATATCCTTATTTAAAGAGAATAAAAACTTTGGAAATTTTTTCAACCAGCTTTACCATTCATTCAGAAAAGATTACCATACAAATGGGTTGAGGAAAAACACGATGTGGTGTTAAAATACTTTTTGATTAGATAATAAAAATAAATATATAAAACCTTATCTGATTATCATTGTAAAATCACTATCTTGTGTTTTCTCAATTTGTGCAGACACCACAAAAATTCCTTATTTCAAAGATATAGGTGACTCATGCTCCAAACCTGGAAAATACTGAAGAAATTAACAAAAGTGTGATAAGTAATTTCATAATATTTGACTTACCTTTCAATGTCATCTTTAAGTGAGGTAGCTTGGAAACTTGCCAGCTTGTCTGAGGCTGCCATACACTTCTGATCAAATGCAGTTCTCGCTTTTTCTTTAGGTCGAGCCATTTCTGTCCTCGAGTGACCACACACAATGAAATATTTCCGTTTCACAGCTTCCCATTAACCTGTAAATAATGAACATGTTTAATCCACAATCTGAATAATAGACTTCGATTTATAATACAACAAGAGCCATGTCAACATGGCCATCCCCCCGCCGAATGTGTTTGCTCATTGGAAGAATGTATATGTAGGAGAGCGGAGTAATTCCATTTTAAGAGGTCTTTTGGTAATGAAAACTGATGGCTATAGTGGTTACAGATTTGAAACCTGTGAATACTAATGGCTGAAAAACAAAGGGCAATTACTGAAAAATAATGCAGGGTAGGTTATCATTCTTGTGTGCTGCATCCCTCCTCAGTTAAATCTATCCACCTATGAAGTTTCAAGTTGATACCTCAAATACTTTTTGAGAAAAAAATTGAATTGAAAAATTAAGTATGAAAAAGAACAAAGGGCAATAACACAACAATTATAAAAGGTAGAGTTATCATATTTGTGCAGTGCATACCTCCTGAGTGAGATCTATGCACCTATAAAGTTTCATTTTGATATCTCAAAGGCTTTTGCAGACTTCCCGAAATACGTCGGTCCGACGGACATGTCCGATAAATTTTGATCAGGTCCGACAATTTTTTATTCCGGATCGGTCCGACTGTCCGGCTTTTATCCAAGCCGCATGTATACAAAATGGCGTCGCTAAAGGTGCCAAACCTGGGAATAACCGAAAATATACGTCAGAAGATTGCGCAGAACAGCAATAAAAGGATGGAAAGAATAGACCGGAGACCAAATTTAATGAAAAATGGAAGCAGAACCATGAATCATTGGCGTATGACAGGGAGGAGATGAAAATGCGCTGTACGGATTATGCCGATTTTTACGGCGAAAAAATAAAAAACAAAAAGTGTCTTAGAAATACAAACACAAGTTTTTCTTTGATTTTGATCAATTTTATTTGGTCCGACAGATTTTGTTTCGGTCCGACAGATTTTCGTGGTTTGTCAGACCGAATGTCTGACAGTTTTTTTCAACTTTCGGGAAGTCTGCTTTTGGAGTTATGCTCTGGACAAAAATCAATTTTGAAAAATAACAAAGGGCAATAACTCAAAAATCATGCAAGGTAGAGTTATCATTCTTGTGCACTGCACTCCTCCTCAATGAGGTCTATCCACCTATGAAGTTTCAAGTTGATAACTCAAATACTTTTAGAGATATGCTCCGGACAAAAATGTCGGACGGAAGGAAGGTGGGACGGACGGAGACTATTTCTATATCCTCCGCCGAAATTTTTCGGCGAGGGATAATAAAAGTGATTGAGGGATTTCAGTATCGAACAAGGCAGTCTGATGGAAAGCAAAATTCCCTCCCGCAGCGTACATGAACGTGTACTTCCTGAACTTTAACCAACCATGACCTTGATGTTGTGCATATTATAAGCACATTGTCTCATAATGGTGATCACTTGTGCCAAGTATTAATATTTAAATAAACTTTTTTGGTGATTTTTTCAATTATTGAGCAGACACAAAATGTAGACTTTTTAACACTTCATCTTCAACTTGGCTTTAAGTGCAGTGAATTTTTCTTCAAAACAACCTGTGGCTTTCTGAAGAGGAAAATATGATAAATCAGAAAAGAGGAAATCAAATTCCAAAAACTGAGAATGGAATTTACCCAAACATTTTATAAAATTTTCAATTTCAATTCAATTTAACATGCATGGTGCATAGCTGAGGCTATCTATAGGGACAACTTTCTGTCTTCTAGATGATATGTCAGCTGCTGTTCATTCATGGTTCTTGTAGGACATTTTAGGGGAAAATATTGGCATTTTTAGAGGGAAAATATACCTATTTTGGGCTAGGGGAAACAGCCTTTATTTCGGCTGAAAAATACAAGAAAAAAAAACACTGAAGTGTGACCTTGACCTTGGGGATAGCAACCCAATTATTGTGCTTTGCACATCGTGTCATAACGGTGATCACTTGTGCCAAGTTATTTCAAAACGTTTTCAGCCATTTAAAAGGTATGAAGCAACACAAAAACCCAGTAAATACAGACTTCAGCTCTTTATAACATACCATCCAAGTCTGTTTGTCACCGAATCAATTTATTTTACAAATTTTCAAAGCCCCGCTGATGACTTTAAGCTCTACAAGGCATCTTAAGCCGTGCTGGTGACCTAAACTGCTTCTGGGGTCCTAAATCCCTGCTTGACACCTTCAGCCCTGCTTCGAATCTAAAGCCCTACTAGAAAACTAAAAGTTAAGCCATGCTTGGAACCTATAGCCATGCTTGACACCTTAAGTGCTACTGGGGTTCTTGTAAAAAATGTGTACATAATGGGACTAATACAAGAAATACTGTTATTCAGCTCTACCAACTGGGCTGACTCACTGTCTGAATACAAGGGCTGGGAACGAATAAGGAATTGGATGTTCGAATATTCGTTTTCCATATTCGAATATTTATTTTTACAACATTTGTTCAAATATTTCTTTTTGACGTATACGTATCCGAAATTGATTGCATTGAATACTATATACTACTTTAAAATGCTTGGAATAATCGGCGATTAAAAAGACCTTAATTGCTATGTCAAAGTTTTTTATTTTATATATTGTAAATTGAGATATATGTTTACTTTTGAAATAAATTCATAATTTGATTGTCTTTTGTTCAGTTAATTTGACTGTCATATTAACAGGAGGTATCTCACATGACTTGACTGACAGTAATATGAATCATCGTAGCCTCTTAGCCCCAAAATCACATAATTATATTGAAACTTAACTTGTATTAAATATTTTTTTATTTATAATTTTAGATAAAGTTTAAAATATTCTTATGATAAATTTAGCTATAAGGCAGTAAATATCACATGGAGTCTAATGTCTACGGAATAAATATATTCTGACAATTTAGACACTTCCTATGCTTTCATAACGCGCCGAATAATGCGTGCTGATTTATTCTTATTCACAAAATTTAAGATTGTTTGTTTGTTTGTTTCGTTTTACGCCTTTTTCAACAGTATTTCAGTCATATAGGCGGGTAGTTTCCTAACCATCATTCCTGGAGAGCTACACCAGTACTAGACTACCTTCCTCCGCGCTAAACTACCAAAGCATCTCCGGGGGATTGAACCCACGCCAGAGAGGTACTGGATAAGAAGTCATCGATTCTAACCCCTCGACCACGGAGGCGGTTCAAAACATTTATTGATTAATCGGAAAGATTATAACACAGAAAACAATAAATAAGATAATTAAAATCGGAAAAATTTACATTATAAACTGTTAAACAGGTAAATTGCAAACTGTGAAACAGGTGCCCTTTTGATCAACTAGACCCCAAAATTTTCACAGTTAATTGGCGATAACAGTGTAAGAAATTAGGATTTGAATCAACAAGGCTGGTCGGACTTCCAGATTGGAATATTCACTAGCCCAAAAGACATTTCACTAGCACAATTTGTTTGTTCAAAACAGTTGTTTATATTGCCTTTGAAAATACAGTAGCCTGGTCGGGCTTGTTACTGTGAAAAGTTGGTAGCCCGAGGAGATATTTAGTAGTCAGGGGCTATAGGACTACTGCTAATTTCGAACACTGCGATAATTGTTGACACACGTCATACAAACATATGAACACCTGGCCAAGAAAAGGTCAAGGGTTTAATTTACGATCTTAATTGAAATTTGAAAGCAATGACAAAAAAAAAACATTTCTCCTTTTTTTTCGAATATTCGTATTCGTTTATCAATGTTTGAATATTCGGTAGTGTTTGAATATTCGAATATAATTCCCCACCCTACTGAATACATCTAATCACAGGATTTTTCTTCTCAGTATTTTGGGAATATGACCCATACCCTTCGGATTGGGAATTTTAGCGGTGTTTGGCTAAAAATTGCGAAAAAATATTTTACTGTAATTTTCAAAATTTCAAATACAGTCGAGACTGCCTCTTTTTCAAGGAATACCGGAAAAACTATGGAAAAATTTAAAATTGGGTGGGTCTACCCTTTTTAAAACAAAATAAGCTTCCCAAATTTCCTAACATTTAAAATTCAAGTTTCCACCAGTATTTTTAAAAAAAAAACGGTCCCAAAAACCAAATCCCCAAGATTTTCTGGTAAAAAAATAAAAATTACTGAAAAACCCCGAAAAAATTTTTAATGAAATTTTTAATATACCCCGGTTTTTATTGGGGGGAAATTTTTTTCAAATTTTTTTCCTAAATTGCAACAAAATTTTCTTTATTTAAAAAATTTTTCAAGTTAGCCCTTCAGGGGTTTTTAATTTTCTGGGGTTATTTTTTGAAAAATTACCCAAAAGAATTTTAAAATTTTCAAAAAAAATTGTTTGTTAATTACGACCTTGGAGTTTTTTATTTTGGAAATTTTTCGGAAGATTTAAAAGGTCCACTAAGATAAAAAAATTCCACTGGTTATTTTTCCTAAAAAACGACCCCTAGAACGTTTAATTTCACAAGGTTTGGGAACTGCAAAAAATTTGCCCTTTTTTTTCAAACCTACTAATAAAGAAATTTCCCTTAATTGAATATTAAAAATAATCCACTGAAACCAAACCCAAAATTTTTTCATTTTTTTCCCCTTTGGAAAAAAATTTTGGGTTTTTTTAAAAAAATTAAAATATTTTTTTAAAAATTAAAAAATTTAAAATTAAAAAAATAAATTTTTATTAAAACAAAAATTAAAAAAGTGGGGATTTTCCTAAAAAAAAAATTTTTTTCTGCACAATTATTTATTTTTTTAAATATTAATCAAAACTAAAGGCCCCTTTTTGGTAAAATTTGGGGGCCAAAATATTTTTCCCCGCCAAAAAAAGGTGTTTTTTTTAAACCCAAAAAATCCGTTTAAAAAAATTTTTTTTCGGTTTTAAAAAGCCATCCGGGTAATCCTGGCAACCGGAAAATTAAAAAATTTGCGAAAAAATGTTTTTGTATTTTAAAAAATTAAAGTTCGGACTTTTTGACCAAAAATTTTTTTGTCCCCAAAAAAATTTAAGAAACAGAATATGAGGTTAAATAAATTTTAAAATTTTTTTTGGTTTTTTTTTCAAAATTTTTCCTCTTAAAACCCCCTTTTTTTTAAAAAAATTTAAAATATAAAAAATTTTCCCCCTTGAGGGGCCCCCCCATCTAAACTAAGAACCTTTTATTATTTTCAAAAGAAATTTTTCTTTTTTTAAATTTTATTTAAAAAAAAAACAATTTAAAACCCCCCTTTTTTTA